TTACCCATCAGCATTACTTCTTTTTTCATGAGGTCAGATGAGATTATCAGATGCATAACAAAGATATGACTCTCTGCGTTCTGATTTTCTATTAACATTACAATAAGAAAAGATTGGCTTATCTTTTTTTTTTTTTTTTTTAGGTCCTGTTAAGGAGTCCTGATATGTATGATTACTTCTTCATAAGTGCTTGCAAACTTTTGTTTTTTTTAATAATATGTTCCCTGTCTTTTGGCATTTTTCTGGTCTTCTAAATTCTACCAAGGATAGTGGTTTGACAGTTGGGTCTACAAATCCTGTCCCAGGTGGAATCCTCAAATGCTGAAGTGAGCAAATATTCCCCACTATCATTATCCAGTAATCAAAATCATTTTAGCAACTTGATTTGGCTTCATGCTGAGCATTAGATGTGTGCTGGGGAAAACTACATATACATCACATTGCTGTAAATTAATTCCTATTTTAAATGAACTGGGAAAGCTAGTCACAGAAAAGGATAATGCAGTGAATCCTTCTATAAGGCAAATAATCCCATTATATGAATAATCAGCCACTAATTTAGTTCTCTATGAATATGTAATGTTCAAACATTGAGGATTTTTGGATTTTTTTTTTTTACAATGGAGACTAGAGCTAAATGTTTGCTTATATCCAATTCCTTTTTTATTTTTTTAACATCATTGTCATTATTGTCTTCAATGTTGTTTGTTGTCATCACCAGGAAAGGCAGCAAATTTTAGAAATATATGAAAAGAGCTGCCTTACCAGAGGTCCTGTCCACCCATAAGCAGGTCTTGTTCTGTGCTGAGGAATCCTATAGCTTCCTCAGTGTCTACATTCAATAGTACAGAATGATTACCTGGTTATGTGACCTTGGACAAATCACAAATTATATAAACTCTCTGGGTCTCAGGTTATTCATCTGTAAAATGGGAATGATGATGACACATTACTCATGGGGCTGATTTGAGGATCAAATGTGGCAAGATAGAATGTCTACCCTATGTTATGTGTTCAATTAATGTCAGCTATTATAATTGCTTTTGAAAGTCATATTATCATTAAACGGTCAGATTAGACAAGCCCTTCCCTTAAAAAAATAACTGTGATTGCATCACTTACCCACTAGAATGCCAATATCCAAAACAAACAAACAAACAAATGGAAAATAACAAGTGTTAACAAGGAAGCAGAGCAACTGGAACACTTGTGCACTGTTGTGGGAATATAAATATAAAATGGTGCAGCCAGTATGGAAAACAGTGTGGTAACTCCTCAAAAAACTAAAAGTAGAATTATCATATAATCCAGCAATTTTACTTCTGGGTATATATTGAAAAGAAATGAAAGTGAGGACTCAAAGAGATATTTGTAAACCCATGTTCATAACAGTCAAAAAGTAGAATTGACCTAAGTGTCCATCCATGCACAAGTGGGTAATCAAAATGTGGTATATACATGCAATGGAATATTATTCAGCCTTAAAAATAAATGAAATTCTGATATATGCTACAGCATGAATTAACCTTGAGGACATTATTAAGTGAAGTAAGCCAGTCACAAAAGGACAAATACTGTATGACTACACTTACATAAAGCACTTAGCCGAATTCATATTAACAAAATGTAGACTAGTGGTTTCTAGGGACTGGGGACAGAAGAGAATGGAGAGTTGTGTTTTAATGAGTACACAGTTTTAGTTTTGCAAAATGAAGAGTTTTGTTGATGAATGCTAATGATGGAAGCACAACAGTGTGAATTTACTGATGCCAATTTTCAGTGTGCAGTAAGCATACACTTAAATGCTTAAGATGGTACATTTTAGGTCATGTGTATTTTACCATGATTTTTTTCTAATAAAAAGGTTTTTACTATTTTAAAATTGTAAAATAACCACCATGATTAGGAGTTTTCTATACCTGGGAAATGGGAACATACCCAGTGGTAGAATATTGTAGGGAATGGAGAAGTGGCAGTGTGGCCAACCCAGGATGCTCTTTAGCAGCACTGAACGTCTGTCATAGCCGACAGGTGAGCCACTCAGAATGTACTTGCATTTGTCAATGATCCCTCCAGCCGATCGACAGTTGGCTGGTTTCACAAAGAACAGCACTGGTTATGACTCGTGTCTGGATAACCACAGCTTCCAGAGATAGGCCCTGCCCAAGAAGCTGGTATTCAAAAATTACAACTCAATTGATAGGAGAAGAGCTCACTGGTACTGGCTTAGTAATTAAATTACAAGGCAATTACTAATCTGCTCAGGGAAAAACATCGCATGTAAGTACTTTAAGTAGCCTAAGACTAAAAAACTCTCCCCAGGAAAAAAAAAATAACCTGTAACTAAATTAATACCATTTTCTACCAATTATAGATGCCCTCCAGTGACTAAGGTTGCCACAGCAACATACCCACTGAAAGGTTGTCTTAGTCCATTTTGTGCTGCTATAACAGAATATCTGAGACTGGGTAATTTATAAAGAACAGAAGATATTTATTTCTTACGTTTCTGAAGGCTGGGAAATCTAAGGTATAGGGATCTGCATCTTGCAAGGACCTTCTTGCTGTGTCAACCCATAGTGGAAGGTGGAGGGACAAGGCAGCACATATGAGAAAGGGATCAAAACTCACAGGCTCAAGCCCTTTCATAATCAGCATTAATCCATTATGGGGTGGAGCCATCATGACTTAAACACCTCCTATTAGGCCCTACCCTTCCCCCCACCCCACCCCACACTGTTGCATTAGGGATTAAGTTCCCACCACATGCTTTTTGTTTAAAAAAAATAGTGTGTTAGATGAATGTATTGGGACACATTCACTATAGCATAGGGTATGATTGCTAAGTCCTGAAATATATAGATACAGCAAATAGAGAATGTTTCACATCCTATCTCTGTGTCAAACCAAAATTGTTTCCTAGTGGGGAGGACATGTGAACTGTCACCAACCAGCTCTCCTCTCTTCTGTGTCTTGGTCTGAAGTCCCAGGCTGCCTGGCCACCTCTGCCACTGCCCCACAGGGAGCAGAGCAGCCCAGCATTTCCCCTACACTGCTCCCTTCCCCTGGGATGGTCTCCCAGTCCAAGTCAGCTAATAGGCATCTTCCCTTGTTTTTCTGAAAACCTCCTCTGCCACCTCTTCCAAGCAGGATTTCTTGGAAGCTGACCAAATGGCAGCTTGGTGCTTTCTAGATGAGATCTCATTCAATCACTTAGCTCTGCACAAAATAAATTCAAGGGCTTCACATACCCTTTGCCTTTGTTCAAGGAACAAACTTGATGAAAATCAGCTGACTCCTGTGAAGGTGATAATGGGGAGTAATACTGTGAACCACACTGATACAGAAGACACATTCCAGAAAGCTGCTGATGAGGCAAAATTTGGTCAATCAGATCTGACGTTGCATGAACCAGATGTGCTGCTATTTAAAGAAATGACGGTTACTCCTTTTGTAAAAGGGATAATCATCTTATAAAGTGTCTTTTGTGTAAATTTCTGTTTTTATATACTAGTAGATACATTTTAGAATTTAAAAAGCTGTCTTGAGTTCTTTCTGGAAAGAGTGGAGTACCGTATAAGTAAATCTGATAATATTATCAAAACAGAAAAAGAGGTAGGGTAAGGATATGTGTGTCTGCATGAGAGAGAGGGACAGAATGTCAGCTCATGAAGAACCACAAGAACAGCTCCTGATTCTGCAAGCTCCACTGAACCCTCAGAGGCCCTGCTGAAGATGAGGATGAGGATTACTGGGATTGGGGCACAGGCTGGGGGTGCATCTCACAGTCTGGGTCAGGCTGGGAGTGGCTCCCACAGTTTGAGCCACACTTCACTGTCTACCTGAATTATAACTGAAAAACAAAATCTAATCTCACCCTCTTGAGTCATAGAATGAAGTCTAAATTGGTCAAAACTTTTTTTCCTAGTCCCACAGAGCCTACCCTGGGGTAACAGCAAAAATAACAACAACAACCAAAAAAAAAATCAAACCTGGCCTTATTATAAGCCCTTACTATGGGTGAAGTGTGTTGTATACATCACCTCCTTTAATCCTTATAATGACTTACTAAGATCTGTTCTATTATTTCCCTATTTTATAGAGGCAATAGAAGCTGAGAGTTGCCCAAGGTCAAGTGATTATAAAAGGTGAAGGCAGGATGCAAATCCTGGTGTCTGCCTCCTGAGTCCAGCCTTGAACCAATGACATATAACTAAGTTTCTAGACTTTGTGCCTCCTCCTTCTCATTCCTCAGCCCCTCCCCAGTGTGAATTCCATCTTCTAAGCTTCTGCGAGCCTATCACTGGGAAAGCCCCATTTCCAGCCCGTCCCATCCCATCACACTCAGGCCTGGTTTAGGTCCACTTCTCCCTCAGATCTCTCCCTGCTGCTCTAGCTTTCAAGGATTGCCTTTTCTCTGAACAATCACTCTGTCTACACTACATGTACGGCACACCTTGGATTTTAATCTTTTTTTTTTTTTTTTTTTT